TCTAGACGCACACACCACTCTCAGCCGAGGCAGCAGCGAGCGAAGAGTTGCTATAGCGAGCGAACGATCGAGCGCTCTCGGCATATAGCACTCGCGCGTTCGTGTATAGGCGCGCGCGATTTGTTCGAGTGCGCGAATGAGTGAGCTTTTTTCTGGCCGCGCCGCGGGGGACGGGAGGGGTTTCCCCTCCGCGCGCGCGCCGCTTATACGTACACACTGCACGAGACGATGAAAATGCGCGCATACGCAACAGGTGGATGGGGTGGCGAGCCGATATCTCGCTATACGAGCGCACAGGTGGGACTCGCCGCGCCGCGAGTCTATACATGTATAGATAATGTAATTAATCTCTGCTCGCGCGCCGCTCGCTGCCCCACTGTAACAGCAGCAGCAGCAGCAGCTCTGCACGCCCAACTCTCCCTCCCATGCCTATAGCTGCGGCGATAACAGGATAATGTTGACATTTCGATGATCGGTATATACTGTACGCGTGTATGGCTGCCGATCATCATCATCATCGTCGTCGCGACATGCGCGCACCCGACGATATATATATTGTAATTGCGTGTATTTTCACCTTCACGCTCTCTACACCTCTTCTTCTTTCTCGCGCTTTTACACGCACCTGCGCGTGTGTTATACAGCCAATTGACGTCAGCCTTTTTCGCGCCGCGATCGAGATTGTGCGTCGTCGTCGTCGTCGTCGTCGTCGATGCACACACAAGACACGCGCACGTAGGCATCGATAATTTTTTTCTATTCGATATTTCCTCAAACGAAGAAAATATCTGTAATGAGAAGGTATATATTTGTCCAATGCATACGACGGTAGGAGGCCTCGATCGGTATGACGCGCGCACGACAGAGAGAGAGAGAGAGAGAGAGAGAGAGAGAGATCGGTAAGAGATGCAGTAACCGTAAAATTGAGCCTCTGGCATCAAACTATTGCTGAATCGATCATTGGTTACCCTTGACTCTTTATTTTTTTACGTTTATAATGGGAAATCGAGAAAAATTTTATCGTTTTCGTCCACGTCGCAACGAATATCCTTCCCTTTCCTATATTTAGTTATATAATTCACGCATTAGTGTGAGTTTTGTTGTTTGTCGGATAATTATGCGAAAATTCATTAAAGTACAAATTGATAATAGTATTTTTCAACGGCACGTGTACGCTACTGCACGTTTGATAGTAAAAATGCACGCAAACTTGATATTTTATCTTAATAAAAAATAATGTCTATGTTCCGAAAGGAAAGTTTATTTTCGAAAATTTTGCAAGTATTTCCTTAATTTTAATTTAATCAATAGTTAGAACACGTGAAGGGAAACGTTTCTTTCTTTCTTTCTCCGGCAATTTGACGGAGAGGCTTGAAACGCCAATTAGCATAAGTTTCTAAGCTACATAGTATTAATCGCGTGCTCGTACGTCAAACTTGTCGCTTTACTTTTTAAATGAGATTTTACTTTAACAGTGACGAACTCGTGTGTCATATATTTCATTATTATACAATGTTTTTATTCATCGCGTTACTCCAAAGATTTGGAATTATTTTCTTTTAAAATTTTATCGTGAAAATTATATCACATGAATTATTTGAATATTATCAAAAAATAATTGATAGCAGGAGAAAAATGTTCTAGTCCTTTGTCAGAGATTTTTATACTATAATTTTCTGAAATTAATAAACTTCCTAACCATATATTCTTCGTAAAAATGATGCAATATAGATAATGATTGAAGTTAAAGTTCACTCGTATGTGCTCTCATTTAACTTCAAAATGAAAAAAAAAATTAATAACTCTAAAAATAATAATATACCTAATATCAATAATTATTTAATTTTCGTTTAATTTCCTCTCAATTGTACCTTAAAATGTTTGAAATATCCACTTTATTTTTGATCCTTTAAAAATGAAATTTTGCGTCTCTTCGCACATTTTCAGAATTAAAAATTTTCAATTGCTTACTGAATTATCGAAATTTATCTAAAACATTTGCTTTCCTGAAAATTCGTCATTTTGCTCGAATCGATTCGACTGATAAAACATTCGAAGAAAATGAATCGGTAAACAGCGCCCAGGTTGTGCGAGAATCTTCAGGAAATGAAAGGTCATCGACATAATCTGGGGCAAAATAATGTGATCAATATGTTGTCAATATGTGCTGGTAACGCAGTTCGATGAAAATATTTACATAAAATGAGTGATTGAGCGTACCATTTTAATCTTGAAAAACTTTACAAAGACAAATTTCATTGATCTACGACCGAAGACTATTCCATGTGACATGAGTGAGAAAATCACCGCTTATTTTACTACTATCTGGTCAATAAAGTTAGTAAAACAATACAAAAACGATGTTTCTGAGTGTCATCTTTTTATGCCAAATGATATCATGTTTGATTAATGATTCTAATGCTGCACAAAAATTAAAATCATGATAAATTGCGAAAATTGAATTGAACAATGATGATTTTTGTAATGCTTTCCGAAAACCTATCATTTCATAAAAAAAGTTTAATGATTAATTGATCGAATTGAAAGTTGAAATAATTTATTCAATAAAAATCTCATTCTTTTGCAATTGACATTCATTGATTATCGAGTGTCAATGTTCTTTCTTAAAAAAAAGATACTACGTCGCAAAAATTAATAATTATAAATACTCTTGCGGAATTTAACTACAATTAAAAAGTGCACATCGGCAAGTAACTTATTGTCATACAGATTTTGAAGAGAAGAGTTGCCGAAATAGTTTTTTAGGGTTAATCAAAGCGCTTTGGAGTTTTATGTTTTGAAGTTGGTTTTTTTTATTAGATACAATTGTATAATCATAAACATTAACAAATTAACATAATTTAAATTTTGGTTATATATCTTATACATATATTTTATAGTTATGTATATTTTTTTGTTCAATCTGTAAGTAATTACAATACTTATTTCTGGTCTTGTTATCATTTTATTACAATATTGTCGAACATACTTCTCCAATAAATCTAACTGATTGAGCTCATTTCCACAGCAGATATGTGAATCTTAAAAGTTAATTATAAATAATGAAATGTCATGCATTTTTTACTTTCAATTAGGAGTCTTTGAGTTTGTAAACTTTTTTTATGGATATTGAACCACTTTCAAAAAATTAAGTTGCAATGTTAAAAAAACTATTGCAAAATAATTCTTTCAATTCAAAGGCAATTTGTGTGTATGCGCTAATAATTATTTGCACGCATTTTGTTTACATAACATAAAAGATTAATATAGGCGCAGTTGTGTTAAGAAGAATTGAATTTTCAATTTTGAATGGATTAATTTACTCACAATTTATTGGAAATTGAATTGCGTATATTGCTTGACATTTTACTTGTTGTAAACTTGGTCCATACGTTTTTTTGTATACTTCACAGATATTATAGATTATTATTGTTTATTTGAGTAAAACTCCTTTTCTGAAATATCATCATTAATTTGAATATATCAAGACAACTATAGTTTAGCCAACGACCAAATGTAAACTTGATAATTGAAAAAACGTTTTAAAAAGATTTTCAATTTTTGATAAATTTTAATTTATTATCTCTTGCGAAATCTATCGATTGATAAAATTATCAGAAATTATGTTTTACGATTTAATTATCTCCTTTTTCATTCACCTGAACTATAAAATTCAAGTTGAATTATGACGTATTAAATTATTATACATTTTAATAAATCACAGTACGTTAATTTTTTTCAAGTTCAAAACAATTCAAATTGTCAATATCAATTACGAACAAAATTAATAAGATTAATTTTATACTCAAACTTCGGACTTGAAATTGTATTCAAAAAAGTATTCAAGATGAAATCGAAATTCTTTGAAGCATTTTCCAAGGTTTTTACAGAATATATTTCTAAAATCGACCTTCTACATAAATGTGTTCTTTTTATTGTTTTTAAGATATCGCAAAAGTTTTTATCCAAACATTGAATACTAATATCAAAAAAATTATTCAATTCAATTTTGGCTCTGGATTCTATATCCTCGGGAATGTAACCCATATAGATTTGATAGAATCATGTATTTTGAAAAGTCACATTTCATAAAATAAAGTGAAATTTTTGAAAATAATTTTTTTTTTATATTTAAAATTTTGTGAAACAATGCCTTTTGTACTCCCAGGTTAAATACATATGAATTTTTAATTAACAGTAATTTATAGTTTTCTGATAATACATAATATTTTCCATATTATGTAACGAACTTCAAAATCGACGGCAAAGATACTGAAGCGCAATTAAACTCATTTGTGTTAAACTATTTCTCAATAAAAAGTTGATTTGAATAATAAATGATTTCTCATATCCTATTTGTATTATTACCCAGAAAATGGATTTTCCAGCTACACAAATCACTGGATGTAAAAATTTAACATATTTATTAATGACTTTATCTTCGCAAAAGTATGATACTGAATCATGTATGAATTCATTTACACTAATAAACACGTGTGTACATAGTATGAAATATTGTTCATTTTTAATTCTTTTGCAAGTTTAAATAATTATATAGAATTATACAGCAGTAACAAAATAATTCACACATTTATAGTTTGTCTGTTAAAAATATACGTGTTTTGTGCTTGGCCATGTGTGTGTGTGTGTATCTTTAATACATATATATACCTATGAATATGTTATCATAACCGTATTAAAAAAAATCTTCACACCTTTCAACGCTACTTTGCTGTCTATCCGAACGATTTATTGTCTTCGTTGCCTTTAGAATATATTTGGAAAAAATTCGAATTATTTTCACTCGAATTTTCAAGATTTTTAGACAATCATAATATATAGCATAGAGAGCTCAAGATTAATCGTTTAAAACAATCACTTGAATTCATTAATCAGGTTTAACTTTTTTTTGCTTTGGATGCTTGTAAATTTTTTATTCTATCCAGTTATTGTTATATATTGTTATATTAATTGATTTATTAAAAGAAGTGAATTGATGAAAAAAAAATTATTTTGTGGATTGACAATCAAAATTAAGTAAAAAGATAAAAATGTAAAAAATATTTCACTCAACAGGACACATACTTAACATTAGAAAAACATATTACAACATATGTAATCCAACATGCATAATCTTTCGAATTATTAATAACTTAGGCCTAATATTTTTACAAGTAAATGAGATTTGCAGATTATATAAGTATTTTCCAATACTTACATTAAATATGATCAGTTAAGATTGTAAATTGTTTTAAGCTTTCACTTAACAATAGTTTTAGTGACATTTGAGTTATTCTTTTAATTTTCAATATTACAAAGTAAGTATTTTTTTTATAACTTAACAAAAATAAAACTATTTTTACTTACTTCACTCGATGTTACTATTTGGCTTTCGCAACGAAAACGAAGTATGCGATAAATCATAATCAATTAGTACAACTTGTTTCAGTACTGTGATTCGAGTCACGTTTTGATTTTAAGCTTTTTCAAGAGTTATAACTGCATTTTTTGATTCGTGTACTATATTAATTAAGAAAAATAATTTTAAATAGATCCTTATCGTCTGAGCTAAAGGTACTGTTATTTAACTAATTAAAATTGTGTAAAATACGTATTTAAATGTTAAATTATTCACGGCGAATTCCACTAATAAAGTTAATTTACGTATCGAAGACCTGTGTTTCTCATAAATTGGAGAAAACGTATAAACATTTTTATGACTTTCACTTTGAAAAAAAAATCGATATTTGGTCTAGATGAAACCGAATCCCGATGTATCTACTTGAAAACTACGCGAAGTATACTCTATGTAGTATGCTCAAAACATAAATGTTATTATTTATTCGTTTGGTAGGTATTATCAATTTTCAGATGCACTAAAATTTTACGAACAATCGTTCATTTCTATTTTTGTCCAGAGATCTTCTTACTGGCTTCGAGTCACTATAATCATTCACTCGGGCAACAAAACAAATGAATCAACGTATTTTTAGAAAAATATTTAATAGAAAAAAAATAACAGTAAAACAATGGTGTTGAGCTCGATTAAAAAAAACTGATCTTCGCAAAAACAACAAAACTTCAAATCGATCAATTTGAATTAAAAACACGAGATTAGTAAATACTCGATTTTGACCATTAGACGATGAACGAATAAAACACGTCGAAGGATTTTTAGTATCCAGCGGGACTGCCAACGGTGGAAACTGGTTTGGACGAGGGTGGCTGTCCTTGAGGATACTCGCCACTCTTCAGAGCTTTGAACTTCATCCAGGTGTCGAATCCATAGGCGCACATCGCGCAGAAGCCGAAGAACTGCAAAAAACAAATATTTTTCAGATCTAGATTGAAGATAACAAATTTGGAAATTTGTGAAAAAAAAATAAATGAAGGCTCACCCCTGCAACTCCTAAACTTTCACTGGCACCAGCTAGAGCAGCGACTAGAGCAGAAGCCAATAAGTAGCATGCAGTTTCAACGGCGCAAAAGTAAAACTCCTGTATAACGAAACAATATCGTTTCAGTTATTAAATTATTGATTTTCATTACGAATCATATTTTCCGTCAGAAACTTACGATTTTGAACCACGGGATTTTGTGAAACTTTTCAATCACGTGAAACAGATAGAACCCGAGCAAAATACCGGACGTCCAGAATCCGATCATCGATACCATATTGAACCACTCGCATCGGCTGTTCGTGCTCAGGTGCGAGCACATTATGCAGATGAAACCCAGCAAGTTCAAAACCTGCGATCGTTTTACAATCGTGAAATTCAATCGATGTAATTTTCTTAAAATAGTGAAATAATAATTTTTTTTTACTCACTATTTGAGCGCATTTGAGCATGCCGTGGACCGTCTTGATGTAGGAGAGATCGAGCCTCAGCGGCACGCTGCCCGACGTCTGTGCCGTGGCCGTCGTCGCCGTGTTGACTTGACCGGGAAAGGCTTGCATGGTGAACTATAGAAAAATAACAAAAAAAAAGAACCTTATTGTCTTATTATTTTTTTTTTCACAGTGACTGACATAATATTATTGAGCTTGAGTAATCGAGCTGAAAATTACTCGTGATCGCGGACAATAAAAAAAAAAGAAAGAAGAATTACGCGCTACATAGATTGTAAATTCCAAAAATAGAATGAACCAGAATCGTCTCTCGTTACTTTCAATAATTGTTATCTGAACTTTTTATCTGTACTACCGCGCTTATTTTCTCGTATAATTATTTAAAGTATAATTTATAATTATTAAAAAACTAGTGTTTACTTAATCAATGCAATTAATTTCGAGATTCTTCGATCTCGTCGACGATAAAATGGATGGATATCGACTAGTTTCACCAAACAAGCAATACATCATGGAACGCAACACGAACTAATGAAAACCCTATCAACGCGCAATCTATATGTACACCGATCGCGACGTTTATACAATATATCGTGTGCGTGCATGTTGGGCAAGGTTAATCTATATCGATTGAATTTCAAATCAAGTTCATTCTTTACTCGGCGAAGCGAATGGGGAAGGATCGATAGGAAAAAAAACAGCTTGATTGTGTGCGTGTTTGGGCTTTTCGTTGAAGGAAAAAGGGGAAAAGGAAATAAGTTGAAAGGTTATCAGGAAAAAAAAGTATAGGGTGCAGAAATGATTTAAGCTCCTACCCCGTGTGACTCAACGAACGAAGGCCAATTGTTGAATCTTGCACTCGTCGGAATGTATATCTATGAAACTATAATAATGAAAACTTGATGGTAATTTTTTGCAGACGTGCTCACGAGCTGTTTATTATTATTATTATTTAAATTCACGTGTAATAATACGTCGGCTCGAATTAAATTGGCATATCGTATCGATGCGTCACTATTCTCGTCGCTCTCGGAGTACGACTAAAGAAGACATTTCGTGCGTGTGCAGTTTTGTCGTCGACGTAACACAATAGAGCCCATACGGAGGGATTTTTTTTGCAACATAACAATACGAGGGGATCGATCGAGACGCGCGCAGCCGGCGGCGGTAGCCGTGTGCAGTGTCTCCCATCCAACCCCCGCAGTCCACCCTGTGCACCCACTATATAACTGGACTTTCCTCCCTCGCGCTCCGTCGATCGTCGAGCACGTCCGAGTCTCGTGTCGCGCGCCGTCGATTATATTATATATATATGTGTGTCACGAAGAATCGTAATTGACACACTGACACTAGGTGTGCTCGTGTGCTGTCGTCAGCCGTGTAGTAAACATTTGTATAAACAAGTGTGTAAAAAAAAAAAAAAAAAGAAACGTGCGAAGCTCCGATCGATTATACAATAACACACGATCACATCGGTGTCGTGCGTAAGTACTTGTATGTATACGATAAGAAACATCGGTATTAAAACGCATCGGTATTATAATACGCCGCCGCCGCCGACGACGACGTTTGATCGGTAATGATCGAGGCCGTATACCATACACACGCTCGATTACGCACGCACAGTAGCGGCTGGAATTTTATTATTAATTTTCACACCTCGCGCGTAATTTTTTTTTTTTAGCGTGTGTATAAAATAGAGAGAGACGACGACAGACAGACACATCGACGACGACCCGCGTCGGTAACTCGTTACAAATATATACATGTACATATGTAATATCGCAACAAGTGTATAATTTGTCACGTCGACAATTGAAGGAGCCGCCGTTGGTTGTGCTCGAGCGTGCGTTATATATACGTTAAAATATGCGACGTGGTCGCGTTAAAAAAAAAAAACAAAAGGAAGAAGTCACGGCACGCGCCGTCTATATGTAATATGTACATACATCGACGCGTCGCGAAAATGCACTTAATTGTATAGGAGAAAAAATAAGCTTTCGGTTGTTATTCGTTTAATTTCCACTTGGAGTCGATACATGTTTTAGGGTAATTTTAATACATAAATGATACTTAGAACAATGGCTCACCTTATATTGTTATTGTAAAATTATTGTCCAACTCTTGTGTGCGAGCGACGCAGACTGCACACGCCTCCTTGTTTAGATCTATATAGATCTTTGTATATACACCTCTATACACACATACACACACTCACACTGGCGCGCGATATGTTTATGGGCTGTGCAACAACAGTTGGCACATCACTTGTATACAACGAAAAATATTTCAGCTTCGCTGCTCCGAATTTTTACAACTCCAAGCGTCGAACAACGAAAAACGACACGATGATTGGGAGCTCGTGTTGTGTATGAAACTTTTGATTCAACAAGTTAGATCCGCAACGCAAAAATTTGTTGGTACAGCCGTTACGATACGCAAAGGTGGCCAAGCCTCTCTCTCTCTCTCTTCCTCTCAAGCGGACGAAACACTACACCGACCGATGCCCGAGAGATGTATGGTACCGTATAGTATTTGTAGTCTATGTTGTATACCAGACGCTAAACGGTAGCGCTCAACTGGCATGGGCTGGTCCAAGAGGCAACTTCGGAGCGCGACTCGACCCCGCGACGACGATGATACTTTACTTTGGCGTGTGTATACCTATACATACATGTATGTGCGAACACACATACCACGACTCGTGGGTGTGTGTGTGTGTGTGTGTGCGTAACGTGTGTGTTTGTATGTATGTAGCGTAGCTGCGCCTTGCACACGGCTGCAACTGCTCTCTCTCTCTCTCTTTCCTTCTATAGTCGCTTTCTATAATAAATACCGTCGTCGTGTGTGCGCCACTTTGGTGCGTGCCCATACGGGGGGGGGCTCGGGAGTTTGGAGCCGCCGCCGGTTCTCTTTCGCCATTTCGCTATTATATGTATTTCGCGCATTCGAGATGATACGTACGAGCGAATAGTGCGTAAGTCTGTGTATACGCTGACTGGCGGCATCTAACGGGCCGCTCGACAGTCTCGCTTTTGAATTTTGCCCGCAAAAGTAGAAATTGTGTGCAAAAAAAGAAATTAATTCGATTGCAAGCGAAGACCGGTGCGCGGTTCCGTAAATTACTGCAATTTCTTAATTTATTATTCGCCTTTTCGCGAGCCGAGATAGATACGCGCAAACATTCCCACGTGTATTTATTATCGAAATCTCGAGTATATAAACACCGATTGTCGTCGTCGTCGTCGTCGTACGTCCGTGTGTTTGTACTCTCGAGAGAGCCGCTCTCCACCGCTCAGAGGCAGTGTAAGAGCTGCTTCATATCATTACACTACGGATAGATAAGCCTATACACACTCGACGCGCTCGCGATTTTAATCCTACACATATCTAGATTGTAATACATGTGTAGCGTTCGTAATTGCCTCGTGTAAATTCGACGAGTAAATATTATCTCTTCTTTCACTTCTTCGTAATATATAATATAATATAATTACGATTCTGGATCCCGGGCTGGAGCGTGCGCGCGTGCGTTTTTGCGTCAATCGTTAATTATTTTTTGGTTTAAATTAATTCTCACAATGATCGCGTGGATTGTTTACCAGACACGAGCGAAAAAAAAACTGAGTCATTTGGCAAATTTGTTTACAGCCGTATACGTCATAAAGTCAATTTTTTCGTTTCCCATCGAACCGTATAGTTCGTCATTAGTGACTTCATAATAAATAATATAATTTTATTAGGTGCGTGGAAAAATTAGCTTGACGCACTTGCAATTATTACTTTTTTCACAAATTTATCGTAAAATCCAATTTTCGATCGAGCTTTTCGTAAACTTCTACCGAATGTGTTTGATGTTTTGAAAATTTAATTGAAAATTTGACTGTCGAACTATAGACAGCTTAAAGAACAAAATGCATTTATTGCGCATCGTGAATCATCTAACGAGAGAGAAACTCATCTCAATAACTTTCGCCCGCAATTGTGCGATTTTCTCAATCGGTCAGGAGAAATTGACGCGTTTAGTCGCGCATCGAGAAATGCTCTCCGGAACTCTGAATAACTATAAAGAAAAGCGCGACATTATAAGCTCGCTGCCACGCTCGCTATAATACGGAAACGATCGCTCCGGATTTCGATCCGCCAGCCAATTTTCCTCGCCACTCGTGTACAGTGCGCTGCGCTTCGTGCGGGGCGAAGAACGAGGAGGAGGAGGGCAGATCGGCGGGCTATATTTTGCCTCCCTCTGGAGCTTTAATTCCCCTCCACCCCCTTGCCTCCGAGAGAGAGAAAGATGTAAGAGGTGATGCCGGCGATTCGCTGCTCGACGGACTACAGCAGCATAGCTTCTACGTGCACGTCGCAGTCGAGACTGACCAAAATAACTGCTGCTGCTGCTGCTCATCTCGCAAAGCACACATATCTTATACATAGAGAGCGAGCGAGCGGACACGATCTTCCTCGATTCGCCCGTGGCTCGATGCTGCTGCAGTGCTCGACGCGCGCGCACCTCAACACCATCTCGAATCGGACGCGACACTTTTTCCTCATAATTTTCATAGTGGAGCTTTTTTTTATATAGCCGCTGTGTAGAGAGTGGAGTGAATAAAAAAAATTCGCTCGCACGCGTGTTGTGCCACTGCTGCTGCTGCTGCTGTTGCTGCTGTGCCTCTTGACTGTATAGTTGTGCGCGCTCGACGACGACAACGACGACGACAACCCCCGCAAAGAGGTCGATCCCCCGGCCCGATCAGCGCAGTCCCCCAACTGATCTCTCATGAGTGTGAGTATTTTGACTACGATGCTACCGGACGCACACATGCGCGCGGCTTTTACGCCTCTTGCGACCCCCTCGACGAGTCACACAGCTTCTTAACGAAACATCGAGCTTCGGTGGGCCTGGCACTTGGGACCCCCTGGACCAAAACACTCGACCGACTCGTTCATTCCCGAGGCTCGTACAAAACTATGCGGCACGCACTTGGAGAGAGATGAGCGTTTAAATATAAACCGAAAACCGATGTGCTCGCCGAGCGGACGATCCATGCGCTTGCAAGCTCCTGACAGCATCGAATTTTCACTTTCTTTTTCAATGTCCGGCAGTTTAAATATATACGCGCATAGAGAGCTTTTGTTGTTACAACTTACCCGACTGAGAGGATTTTGTTTTTCCTCTTCGTGTGCTCGGCTCTTATGTATAGGTATCGATGCACGCGACCCATGTAGGTATTTCCGCGTCTGAAAATAAAATTTTCTCACTTTGCTTAAAGATTTCGCCATCCTATTGATCCTATCATGCAACCGATGAGTTTGTTTAAGCCTTTGCCCATGTAAACAATTCGCATTCCTTGATTAACTTTCAAGAAAATCGTTTCGACTTTCTCATCTCATCGATGAAAGTTCACACGAACATAATTATTAGTTTGGTGAAAGCTCCTGTCCATGTCGAACGTTTACGTTTCGTATGTAAAATGAATAGTGAAAAGAAAAACATTTTTTTTCAAGACAGGCCAATGTCAAGCTCCGTACTGCGCTGACTGTGACTTGGGTGCAATGTTGATGATACGTTATAGGCTTGTCGTGTAGCATCGTCGCGTGAGTTCAAGCTCTCTGAGCACTCGTATATATGCGCGAGTGCGTCGCCTGCCTGCCTGCTGTGCCTGCGTCAAATGTATTTTCGTTAAAAATAAGCCACACTCTACCTACTAAGCTAAATAAAATAGAGCGAGAGTTGAGATTGCGCGGAACTTACGGCACACGTATACCGTTGGCAATGGCCGACGACGACGACCATTCCATTTTTGCCTTTTTCGCGCGCGACTCGCAATGCAGTATAGTAGTTACAGTAGTAGCAAGCTGGCCCTTGCCTCTGTTATATAGGGATGTATATAAGAATGCCAAAAAATAGACCTCTCATTGTAGAGCAATTCAAGTGCTCTCAGCTCTCTTGCTCTCTTGTGGCCTGCGCCGCCGAGCCGATGAGAGACGCGGGCGAAATATTAGCGCGGCTAATGACCTATAAAAACGAAGCTCGTAGCTGCAGCGCAGCGAGCTTTTCTAGAGGGCTGCTGCTGCTGCGTGTGTAGCTAGTCTCTCGATGATTGTGATTGCGCAAAGCCAAAAACTTCAAAGATGCTAGGCACAAAGATCCATGACTCTTTCTCTCTCTCTGTATCTGTCGCGCTCACGTAATCGCGATCAGGAGTATAATAGATTCTCTATGTAGCGTAATATCGAACAATTTTAGTCGTTCGCGCAAATGCGTCCGGGAAACAGTAGGTGCTACTACTGTGCGCCTGCAGCCAACTTTCTGTCTCTCAACTAGATTACTCGACTTCGAAAAATAGCCACTACGAAATGCTCGACTTCGAATTTCCTCAATTTTCGACGATAAGTAGACGTATCCGCAAAGACTAGATCTAATTATCGCGTGTATAAGCGTACGCTCGCGTTGACAAGCTGCCACGAAGAGCTGCAAGCGAAACCTTGTCTACATAGTCATCATCCAATGGGCAAGATATCAATTTTTTTTTTTTTTTTTATCAAGTCAAGCAATTGTTTGCCCAAGAGCACGAACGAGAGAAGAGTAGCCCGAGGTAAAACTGGACGCGCGCAGTAAATCGGCTCCGACGCGTGTATTTCTGAACATCGGTGGCGCGCAGCCTGGTACCTACACCTATACCATGATATATAATGCACGGGTTCGATGAGCTTGCGATCGTTTGCGCCGTTATTGCGGTGACGTTGATCGATCGATGCTCGGAGCTGCCTCTCTCTCTCGAGCGTCTCGCGCGTGTTTTATACATGACGCACCTTCCGAAACATTCGGTGCGCTGATCGAGATGCGAGCGCACAAAATCGGCACCTCCGCGGATATATAATATAACGTAAGGTGCAATGAACTGGTCGCGCTGCGCTGCGAGCAGCACAGCCGATGATCGCGATATTCTCTATATATTATAGACTAAACTAAATTCGACACCATTAGCCGCGGCTCCCTCTCGTCCGCGTCGACGAGGGTAAAATTACGCCGTGACGTCGTTGTCGTCGTCGTCGGACGACGATTCGAGGAAAATCTAGTTCACGCTTCGACCATATTTTCTCAAATATTTTTGTAAGCATATAGAAGAAGAATTCATTGGCCCCCGTGGAGAGTCGCGATTCGCTCGCGTTTAAGACACACACGCACATATCAATTACAAGTCTATCAAGTTTTTGACAAACACATAAAAAATGACATTTTCAGCAAAATCCCGGAGGCGCGGCAGACAGATGGCGGCCGATGTCCATTTCCAATCCGTCGACGCGGCTGCGAATGGCTCGCTCCATGCCCCACTGGCTCATGGTGAGTTTCCCTCGTCGTCGTCCGGCCAATATACATGCACCAATAATAGAAGAGCGTGAAACTTGAACGCGCTCAGAGGCACCTGCGCTATTTAATATCTATTAATAATATAATCAATTTTCTATGCGCTCGAGGCTCGAAAGTTTTGCGCTCGGCGATATACGTGCATCGCGTAAAAAGTCGATCCACGGCTTTTGAGCATCGCAGCTAGTGTTCTACGAGTTTTCTTTTTTTTTCATGTCAGGCACAAAAGAAATCTGACCAGCAGCAGCAGCAGCACTCTCAAAAAAGAGACACGTGTCGTCTGCCGACACCCCCGAAGGTGCCACCACCCACGAACTCGTCCTCCGTCGACGGCGCCGAGCCGGACTACGAAGTCATCGAATTTCCTCCCCCCTCGTCGTCGTCGTCTGCGACGATGTCCGCGCCTCGACTCAACCAGACGACGGACGTTTGGACGGCCAACCGCAACAACGATCGAAGCAGCAATGGGAAAATTCCGAGTCACGGTCTCAACGGCCAGTCCAAAGCCTCGAGCAGTAAGATCGATGCTCAACAATTACCGTTTAAAAAGATTCAAATTGTATGATTGGCTTGTTTTTGGCCATTTTTTCTCCACTTTAAGCTTTCACCGCTAGTTGGCGACTATTCTTATTTCCAAATCTGCAAGTGAAAAAGTAAAAATAACCGCATAAGTAAAAGCAAAAAGAAAGCAAATTTAGTTTCTTCGTTGTGATAATAAACATTTATTTTTTTCGAGGATACAACTTTAAGAAATCCATTTCAGTTTTTCGACGGCCAAAAACTAGCCATGAAACGTTAAGAATTTCAAGCCTGACCCTATCATTGATTTTTTTTTGCGTTCCGTTACCCTCCGCAGGAAACAACAACGACACATCGAACGGCCACGGTTCGTCATCGTCCTCCTCCTTTTCGAGCGTCAAGTGCAGCTTGTGCGGCTGCGATCGCGTCTCCGTCTACTGCGACGGCTGTAAAAGCGAGTTCTGCGACAGCTGCGACGAGGCCAATCACAAGCACCCCAAGCGACGGAATCATACTCGAAGACGATCGTCGGCATCGTCGTCGACGACGTCTTTCCCCGTCAAAACCACACCGCCGCCACCAGCGGTAATATCCCACGAGAATGGCCGACAAAATAATCATCATCTACATCAACAGATCAAACCACCCCTACCGCCGAAAGGCGATTTGGGCACGCCGCCGCCCGTGCCACCGCCGAGAAGAAATCGAGGAAGAGGCAATCAGGTAGGCTGCAGAGTACACTGACACCGACTCTGTGCAATATATATCGTTGAGATTGAGAGCTTTTTAGAGAAAAGAAAAACTGTTGCGCTATTTTTTCTATTTTGTTTTTGTTTATGGACTACTCGTATTATAGTACGTTGAAAAATTCTAAAATTTGTGGTGTGTACGACTCAAAATCATATCAAATGATGCAACATTTCTCACTATCTTGGAACGCGTAAAAAAAAATTTTAACGAGATTAAGTATAGCATTTACTTTATACATCTGACTCCGTTGATAATCCATTACGTGACGTCTTGAAATGCATCAGATTAATTGCATTAACCCATTAACGACCAAACTGCTTGATTTTTTGTTGGTTTTTACAGCGATTTTTTTTGTAGTTTGAGGCCTCCAAAAAGTTTCACATGGACCTATTTCGATGTAAAATTTAATGCCCTTTCAGAAACTGAGCTCAAAATTTCGATTCTTTGCGTAATAAAAAAGTTATGGCTACTTATACGAAAAAAAACGTAGAATTTTTTGCAAAAAATCAAGTTTTTGATTTTTTTTCACCGTGTTACCGTTAGGGAATCACGATATAAATATGATCAGGGGTGATCACAACTATCAAAGTATCTCAGGGAATTTTTATGGAATTTTCGAACCACTACTTCAAACAAAAAACAATTTATATTCGTATAAAACATAACTCATTTTTACTCGAAAACTACTGAATTTAGAGAAAAAGTGCAAAAAACCAAAGTTTGAAAAGGAGTTCAAAAATTCCATAAAAATTCTCTGAGATACTTTGATAGTCGTGATCATCTCTGATCATATTTATATCGTGATTTCTTAACGGTAACATGGTGAAAAAAAGCGAAAACTTGATTTTTTGCAAAAAATTTTACGTTTTTTTTTCGTATAAGTAGCCATAACTTTTTTTATTACGCAAAGAATCGAAATTTTGAGCTCAGTTTCTGAAAGGACATTAAATTTTACATCGAAATAGGTCTATACCAAACTTTTTGGAGGCCTCAAACTACAAAAAAAAATCGCTGCGAAAACCAACAAAAAAAGTCGAGCATTTTGGTCGTTAATGGGTTAATTGAGGTTTTTTCTCATGAATGAATTTGTATGCAACTGCATTTAAACAAATCGAGATTAATTTAATCATTACACCGTTGATAATTAATACATAATTGCGATTGTGAATTGTTTGAACTTAACATACATAGGGGTAAAGTTTATTATAAACATAAACAACCACTTTTGGTAATTGAATGAACTCAATTGCAGACTTCAGATTTCGTTCTATTTTAGTTTGGAGTAGATATAATTATTGTACTCATAGTAGACTACGTTTTCATCGAGCATGTGATGTATTGGATGTTACTTTGTTACTTTTATTAACATTATATGACATACAATGTATATGGAAAATTTTGACTGTTCAATACACGATGATGTCTATAAAAAAATGTTTGTCGTATTCACTGCAATCCTTTATTAACATCTTCCTTTTGTCTCTCGTGTGCAATAATACTATTGTCAAAAATATATATTTCTGTCGAATTCAAAATTTTTCCTTGGCAGTGAATGTGATTTTATATTTTTTTAAACATTATGCGTTGGTTTACGAATTTTAAAATCAATTAAAATTAAAACTCAATGGGTTTCGCGGGAGTAGATTTATAGAGACTCTTTTACGAATTCTCGTGACGAACTATTTTTTGCGAACGCAATTTCAATTCGCAGCCTCCACAATTTCCCAACTGTATGGACAAATCGGCGAGTCTGAAACGCGCGTCTCTGACGAATCTCAACAGACCTTTACCGAACTTACCGACCAGTCCGAATCATCATCATCAGCAGCAGCATTTCGTTCACCCGAGCTCGGGCACGATGGGCTCCCAGCCATTCCCTACACCCGACAACAGCCTCAATAATCCCGATAGAATGACGAGCTTACAGGTATATAAAAGCGATTGGCTCGTGTTACTCTCGAATCACGTGCGTTACACCTCTGTGTGCTCTCCCCCCAGGAAAGATACCGAAGATACCAGGAGGCGATGCGGGCTCAGGACGCGAGTCGACAGGCAGCCCGAGGCCGACCCGATCCCCACGAGCCGATCTCGAGGCCTCTGAGCGTGGGCTCGCCACCGCCGCCCCCGCACCCTCCCCCGCCGCAGCAGCAGTCGCACTTCATGCGGCCGATGCAGCAGCAGCATCACCAGTCGGCGAGCGTCTGCGACCTGACCTCGGCCAATCTGCACAGCATGATGTGGCAGCCCAACATGCATCAGGCCCAGTCCGTGGCGCAGATGAGCAACAACAACCCGATGATGTGGTATCCCAATCCCTGGGATCCTCACTCTTCCCAAGTGGCAGCTGGCCAAGGTGGCTTCGGCGGCTCCAGCATGAGTCTGAATCACGCCTGGCCGCCCGCTTCCGCCTATCCGGGGGTGCCGGTGTCTCCCTATCCCGGTGGCCCTCATTATCCCGGGGGCATCCCCCAGTATCAGTATCGCTCGCAGTCGAGAAATCACAGTCCGGCGCGCAGCACCCGGTCCGGACGTAGGTCCAAGGCGCCGTCCCCGTCGCCCTCCGTCAAGTCGCGCAAATCCACCGCCTCGAATCGCTCGAGACTGAGGCGCGGCAGCAGCAACAACAACAACAACAACAACACGACGAGCTCGCCGTCGGACGCCTCGTTCGAGGACTCGGACGAGTCCGACTTGGACGACAGGATGTCGCGTTGCTCCAGGACCCACCAGTACAACTCGTCGGCGGCGGTTGGGCGCAGAGACAGTATCGGCAGCGGTTCGAGGTCCAAGGCCAGTAGTAACAAGGCTTACTATCAGGACGAGCTGGGAAGAAGCAGGAAAAGGTATACGCTGTTTCGAAAATAAATTTAATAGAGTTTGGTATTAGTAATCGATTTTACATGAAATCTTCGATGACAATTAATGTATCGGTACTGATTTACTTTTTTATATGAATCACGATAAAAATGTGTGCATTGCCATGCATTATATTTAATAATTACAAGAATTTAATTCTATGCTCACATTTAGACATTTTAATTGAGAATTGATGGTTCAAAACTGATCTTATTTTTACGTTAATTTCTTTGATCAGTCATAATTAAAGACAGACTCTAGACCGCTAGATGGCGAGAACAGATATTTGTAAATCTACAAGTGGCAAAACGAAAGTAATTGTATAAGTCAAAACAGAGTTAAAATATTTTGATATTTTTGCTTTTTGAAATAAAGAAAAATACATGAAAAGGCAATCATGCACATTACACTTAATGCCACAACGAACCAGAAACATTTCATTCTATACCCTAAGCAGTAAGCAAGGCATTTTCATTGAAAATCAATGTTTCCAATACTGATCTTTTGCGTTCGTTGATTAAAGCCAGTCTCCGCCACTAGATGGCGAGTACGCGATTATCCGTAAAACCGCAAGTGGTACAGCGAAAATAAGTGTATTTATATGTCAATGCATGGTCTTCTCGTTTCATATTCTCGTCTATGTAGGACTCAATAATTAAATTTTCACATTCATTCATCCGTTACACGTATAGCTGGCGATCCGAGGACCGTATCAACGGTTTCGAGGAGCAATGGATCGCCCATCACTTCGCTCCCAACGGCAACAACAACGCCGTCGACCTGGAGGACGATCGTCGCTCCGTGAGTTCGCTCAGATCGGGCCGCAGCAGACACCAGCACAGCAGCGGTCGAGGCAACGGCCGCGCGGACAGCGAGGAGCGCCAGTTTCAGCGTCAGCAGCTGCTCAGCGGCCAGAGCACCGACGACTCGGCCACGCCCTACAGGGATCCGACGACCAAAGTCACGAGCTCGTCCGAGGATTACAACGATCATCAACGGCAGAGGAGAGCAACAACGACGGCCGCCGACAGAGCCGGTACACTGCCCAGGTCTTACGGGAGCAGAAAGTCGACCGCGTCCGCGTACGGTAGAGAGGCAGCGGCAGCGAACGAGGCTAGACAGCGAGGCAATTCGGAGGAGAGGGTGGATGGCGGTAGGAGGAGATCGGGATCGGCGAGGACCGGCCGATTTTCATCCTACGACGAGTCGGACGGACTCGAGCAGTCTTCGCGAAGTACAAGGTCGGTCGATTTTCACTATTTTCTTATAATTTAACTTATAAAGCTATTTGTGTAATTCTAATTTGCTCGAAATTGCGTAGAGACAATAATTCTGAAAAGAGCAACAAAAGATCGTCGACGCAAGAGTCTCGGCGAGGCAGCAGCGGTCAAGACAGTAATCGAAAGTCGAGATCCTTCACTCCCGAATCGAACTCGCGCGAAAAGTCGAAGCTGCGCTCGCCCACCCCGGAAAAACGATCCACGACTTCCCCGTCGAAGCACAGCAGAGCCACGAGCAATGGCGAAAAACAGCGTCAGCAGGAGAAGAAGCCGCCGATATCGCCTACGAGCGACGGTAGTAAGCAGCGCAACGGCACCAAACGCAGCCCCGATTCCACGTCGAGCAAGAGCAATCAGGATCTGATGTCGGAGGTAAATTCATCGCTGTAAGCTTGAAATTCGATAATTTCAATTGAATGAAAATCGATGATTTATAGCTCATGAACGGCGAGTGGCCCTGCGAGCACTGCACCTTCCTCAACGACCCCAAGGACAAGATATGCGCGGTCTGCTGCAAGACCAAGGCGTCGGCCCTGCCGCCGCCCCGAAAATCCGACGACGAGGACGACGAGGAGACGCGCAGCAGCCTGGCCAAACTCAAGCTGCTGACTCAGGCGAGCAACGGAGGGAGCAACGGCAACAGCACCGGAGGCAGCAACGGCGATACCAAAGCCACAGGTAGACCGAGAAGAAAAATCAGCTTTTCCTTCGGCACGAAATTTAACAATAAAACTCAGCGATCGTAGAACACGCGTAGATAGATGTGATTTGTGCGATCAACGTTTACAAAATTAAAGATGTTAGTTTATGTTACTTTGAACAATTTTTTTAATGAGAATCTTAAGGTTGCAACTTTTCAGATGAATTGGGGTAGAGGCATGCAATTGAACCTGTAGTTTTTCCATCGCTTTATGTGTTTATTATTTTTAAAAAAGCATCCTTTCATTTGAATGATTTTTAATCTATGATATCAAGATAAATACTCGACTAGAAGTGATTAACAAATTCTGTGCTTTGTCAGTAGCAATTTTTTTCATCAAAATCACAACGATATTCTCTGCCTTTACTCTATTTCACTCCGAAACGACAAATTTGTTACACTGAAGTTTTTTAATTAGCCAATGATAGTACAGAACTCAAAAATGTGTACTTTCGATAAAAACGCCATTCACTTAGGTCACGATATTTCTATCAAGACCGTGCATTTTAAAAATTTTTTGACTGAAAATATTTCTTTTATTTCAAACTGTGTAAATAATAACAAAATGAAAAATAGCACTGAATTTTATATTTTAAAATTATTAAAAATTTTAATTTGAAATAAAAATGTTGTAAAATTATAGTTTCTTATGTATAAGAATTATCTCTATGAATTCGACTGTTTTATTTAATGGTCAATCAATCAATATTTTTTTCATGTTTTTATCATCACCGAATGAATTATTTTATATTTTTATTTTCACTTGTAAATGAATGAAAAATTCAATAAATCGAACTTGAAGATAATAAAGCTTAATCATATGAAAAATATCTATAATTTTCATTTGAAATTTAGATTCAATAAACTTATTTCACATTCCAATTGAGATTCGAGATAAGACGTGAAAATTCACACCGTCGAAAAACTTTTACTTTAATGCAGTTTTGCCTGAAATCTTCGTATGAAATTGAAACTAATTTATTGTTCTACATAAACTACACAAAAAACGCATGATTATGTGATCACATATACACTATTTATAAAGCAACATTCAAATCTCTACCCAGTTTTGAAAGTTTTTAACTAAAATTAATGTTTTAATACTAATTGACTTGTTTGCTGCGTTAACTATATCAAAAGTGTATGAAAATTCAACAATAATTAAAGACAGATTTCACCGCTAGATGGCGAGTACTCATATCAGAAAATCCGTCCAAAAAATTTTACATAAGTAGTGCACGTTTGTGAAAAAAACGAATTTCAAAGTTTAAAACTGAAATTTGAGAAACATGAAATAAACATTGAGATTAATGTCATGCTAGCACTAATTCAGCATGGGTTTTTAACCGTTGAACAAATTCAGTAAATGCTTTTCATTTTCTCCTTTATTCGGGCACAACTAGAAAACTTTTTAAAATGTTATCGCACCACTGTTAAGATAGTTCGGCAACTTGCATTAATATATTTTTACAATACTCGACCTAATGTATATTTTCTACGTACACATAACAGTATCTCAAGTAACAAAAAAAAATGCATAAATAATATTTTCAATAGTACGAACCTCGTGTCTTTTCGTTTTGCAGACGTCGACGTAACGAGCGACGATCAGAACAAGTCGTCCGAAGTCGTGGACGACTCTCAAGTGACCGAGACGGACGAGTCCGGATCCACGAGCCACAAGTCCAGCTCGAAAGCTCGCAGCACGTCGAGAGGCACCTCCCCGTTGAATCTCGTCCAGCTCGAGTCCTCCAGCGAGTCGACGGAAAAAGTAACCGTGGAAACTCCTAGCAATAAGAAGACTGAAAAAAAATTAGACGACGGTAGCAAGGAAATCAAGACCACTGGCAAAGCGAACGGCGAGATTAAACTGGAGAAATGTTCTTCGGGTGGCACGACGACCGACTCGATCGGCACGCCGACGCAGGAGGAGGAGAAGGTGGTGTCGTCGAGCAACGAATTGACTTCGAAGAGCGAGGGAAAGGTAAAGAGCACGAGTGTTTCTACGGGCACGTCACCACCCCCACAAAGCATATCGACACAAGTGAGTGAAAATAACATACACGAGGTATTTTTTAACAAAAGACTCGAATAAAATGTCTTCCATTATTAATGCCTTTTGACGTATTAAAATTGTTTTGTGACTTTTATTTGCAAAAATTGATTGTAAATAATGAGTATAACATTTATTTATGTACAGACTTACGAAGATCCGAAACTATTGAAAGAACAAGACGAGCAGCCTCATCGAGCGGCAGTACCCCTAGCGAGAGCAAAAAGCTCAACGAAGTTTCAAGATATCGAAGACTCGGAAGTACGTATTAAAAACTCAAAACAAAAATAAATATACATGTAACGTTGAAAATGATCGTAGGAAGTCAACGAAAACAGATTCGCCGTGCTGAACAATAATAATAATAACGTCAACAACGGCATGATCATCGATGACGCTTACAACGTGCGACAACTGCAGCAGCAGCACGCCCTGGCGATCGGATCTCTGAGGCCGGATGATCATCATCAACATCATCGCCAGGTGATGGTCGGCAGGTGCGACTCGCTCTCGTCGCTGCATCAGTTCTATCGCAACAGAGTGAGTGCATCTCTATATTTTGTTTGATAAACTCAGCTCGATTTTTATTTGAAAATCAAACACCTCGAATAAAGAAAATTTATTTTCAATAAAATTCCAAGCGCACCTATTTTAAATACTCTTTTAAATCGAGCTGAATAATTTCGAGGCGAATCGCGTTTTTTTAACAGGGTCTCGACCGATCATTGATCACGAAGTCAAGAAAGCTAATCATTTTTTTTATCTCCCCCAGGAGAGCAGCCTACCCCGCTTGTACGAGCGCGACTCCATCACCAGCGCCAGCAATCCCCTACTATTCCAACAACAACAACAACAACAACAACAGCAAGCATCTATCACGCGGCAAGACTACGAGCCTCTGGTCGAGGTTCTGCGCGAGGCCGAGCTCAGGGGCTTCTCCGCGGACGATATCCAGGTGGCCGTGCATCAATCGCCGCGAAATCCGCTGGACTGGCTGCAGCAGCAGTGGCCGCATCTCGTCGAGACCGTGCAGATACTGGCGACGACGCGCGGCCGAGAGCTCGCCGCCGGTGCCGACAATAACAACGGCTTCAACGACGTCGGCGTGCTGAGCTCGCACGAGGCCAAGGAGGTGCTGAGGGCGGCCAAGGGCGATCCCTGGATAGCCGTGGCCAGTGCCATTCAGCTGAGGCAGAGAAAGGTATAGACGATGTTTATCTTGGTTATGATGATTTTCGATTGTTTCGAGGCGTGCAGACACTCACGGGCTCGCCTATTGTCAATGATTCGTGTTGTTATTGTAATTATTTCTCGATTTTCAGTGTCAAACGATCATGGCGAAGGGAAACTTCAATCTACAAAGTGTAGTGGCGGCTTTGAACAACAATAATGGCAACGAAGAAGCGGCACTGCTGGAGTTGCAGAAAGACCAGCTGAAACCGTTTCTAATGAGAATCTGGGGACCCCCGACCGGAGTCGAGAACGAAGAGGCACCGCCAGCAGCATCTACAGGTTTTTCTTTCTATCGATACTCGTGAATATGCATAAAACAATTAATGTAAATCGAATTTCTCGTTAACAGTTGCGATTTCGGCTTCAGAATCATCGAACCAAGCATCAACAGCAGTGACAGCAGCAGCAGCACCGGCTAAACAACTCGTAACCACCCTCGGCTCGCCCGCGATCGACGATAAGGAGGCGATGACACAGGTAAATCCCTCGACGGTCTCGAGTGTAAATTCGGACTTTCAGGCTCGATCGGAAGCTACAAGTAGCTCTTCAGTAAAACAGAGAGCGATCACCGACGTACAAAAGGTCGCGCACACGATCAATCAGTCGCCGAAGCTCAGGGACGAGGTCGAGCTGCTGAAGGAGGCCTCGGAGAGGCTCGAGAGAGAACTGATGAAGTTGGCCGTGAAAATTGATACGGAGAAGGCGGCTAAGAGTAAGAAAGACGCCGATAAAGTCGACGATCAACTTTACGAAAATGTAGAATTGAAAGTCGACGAGAATGAATCGGAGAAACGTGATGATGATTCGGTGGTGACTGACGCAGAAAATGTAAGTATCGCGGGGAAGGACGAGAAAGATTCGAACGTAAACGAGGAGAAGGCAGAGATTGCCGAAACGATCGAGAAAGAAAGTAATAATACGATTGACCAAGAGGATGAGAAACATGCCGACGACAAAACGCAGCAACAGCAGCAGGTGGAAAGCGTGAAATCGTCGAAACATCATCCCGTGGCCGTGAAACAAATCATGACCGCCATGAAGATGCTGCCCGAGCAGCTGATCGATCAGATCTCGGCTGCCATTGAGATGCTGACTCCAAAGGAACAACAGCAGCAGCAGCAGACCACGAAGCGAGAAGCCGTGGCTCGTGGTACGCTTGAGTCGACTCAAGTAAAATCGATCGCAGACGTCGGTGATTCTTTATCGGTAACTGCTGCCGCTGATGTTCCCGCGCAAGCTGTGGAGACCGTTGAAAATATCGAAAAAGTCGAAGTCGAGCCGGAGGAGAATATCGTTCGAGGTAACGAGGATGAAGATAAAATCGAGGAAGTGAAGAGTCAATCCTTCGATCGAGCTACAATCGATACGAATGAGAAAAACGAGAAAAATGAGATTAATGTAAAACACGATATCGTAAAAGTCGAAGTTGAATCGGTAGTTGTAGAAAAACTCCCAGAAGTAATAGATAGCTCGGATTCACCTAGTACAAATGATACGGCCAAAATCGATGATACGAAAAATTCGGAACCCGTCGTCGACGTGCAGCAAGACGATTATCCAGAACCTCAACAACAAGTTGTCGATGTAATGGAGCCTTCGAAGGAAGTTCATTTTTCAGAAAAACCTATTTTACAAACCATCGCTCGAGTCGACGTGACCCCTAGCAAACCGGTGAGCACCATTCGCATTCAAGAGTCTCAAACGGCCACCCTCTCTTACGAGAGCTATTCTCGCTTACCCGACATCGATTCGACTCAAAAAACGAAGCCTGAGATAAGTAACGATATTTCGTACAGCGAGCCTAATCCCAAATCTACCCACGATACCCCGGAAACTCTCAACAAAAGCGACAGTCTGTCGTCCGAAGAATACTGCTCAGTTTACGACGATGCGCTCGACAACGTATCGTCGCATCGAGCGCCTAAAAACAATCGAAAGTCCATCAGTAGGAACGTCAGCAACGATTCTACGCTCAGCGCGTCCTCGATAATATCGCATCATGAAGACTCGTCCATCAGCAAATCTTCGGAATCTCAGTCGACGTCTCATATAGTGGCCACCAATGCGGTACTGACTCTGTCGCCGTCGAAACAATCAGTGGAAGAAGTATTGACCGTTGAAAAAATGAAGAAATCTAACGGAGTCGATGATGATAAGCAGAAACTCGTAAAAAGCGATAGCGTTGAAAAGAGAAAATGCCCTGAAAGTGAGAATAATAACGATGTCGATTTGCAGGTAATTATGGAAAATAAGCTCAATAAGAAAAACGAGAGCAATTGCTGCCCGATAAACCCGTTGATACATGGAAAAACATCTTTCCAGCCTATTTGCACTGAAAAAATCCAAATTTTTGAGCTGAAAATTTCCGAACCGCCTACGGTAGCCGTGAAAAATGCCGCACCGCCGATCACCGTAAAATCGTTGGAGAAAGACGCCAACGACGATAAGATCAAAGATTCCGAATTTTACGACGCCAAAGAAGATTTTTGCACCGAGAAAGAAATAGCGAAGCCGACTCCGACAAAAAAAGACGTTGTGAAATCGACCGCTACCAACGTGGTAGTAAAAAAACCAAACGTTCAACGCGTCAAAGTGTCGATCATCAAGAGTCAAGCGCGTCCGCCGCCGGAAAAATCGTTCAACAGAGTACGGCCCAAGTCGCCGCCTAAAAAGGTCATAGTCGGCAGGAAATCTCCGTTTAAGATCGCGAAGAAGAATATAGTCGTTCCCAAAAATACCTACTCGAAGACAAAAACTCCGCCTAAGTCGCAAACGTTGCCGAACAAGATGACGTTGAAAATTTTACCCGTCAAACAGAATCACGAGCAAAATAAAAATTTGAGTAAGATTCCGAGAATAAATAACTTTAACATAAAGAATAATAAAAAGGTGTTGGCGGTTGTGAATACTTGTAAAGAGCAAATAAATCAAGGATATTCGCCGATGAAAAATTCATTGAATAAGCTCAAGATTCATAACATCAATAATTTGATTCACAACAAATTGCATAATTTGGAGAGAAATAAAAAAATGTTCTATCTTTCAAAGATACCAGTACTAAAGGACTCTAGACGTCCGGTAAGTAAGTATCTCAAAAAAAATAACCGAGATTTGGAAATCGAGTCGAAAAATTTCCTTAACAATATCGTTATAAATAATGACTTGATTGACACTTCGAATTGCAAAGTTATGAATAAATCGCAGGAAATTATCGAAACTTTAGAATGCGACATTTTGATGGACTGCGAGGATGTATGCGAAAAAGAGGAGATTCTTTGTCAAAAGCAGAATTTAGAATCGATAAAAATAATTGCGAATGACGAATGTTTGAAGTATCAAGACACCATCAAAAATATTTATGAATATGAAGCGATGAAAGATAAACAGGTTGACGAAGAGGTGCAAAATTTGACTTCGAAAATGATCGAAACGAAAAATTCCGATCCTTTTGTATGCATAAATAGTCCTCAAGAAGATTTACCTGCTGAAAATTTGACAACATGTAATGAATTGAGTGATAGTGTTGATTGCAAAAATAACGATCAGCTTACAAAATCTGAAATTCAGACAGAATACGAAGAATCAAACAGTTTATCAGAATGTAAAATTGTTGCAGATAAATTGGAATGCAATGAGCTAAACACTTTTATGGCAGAAAATTTATCAGAAAACTGTGTTGAAGTATCGGATGAAAAAGAAACAATAATGAGAGAGTGCGAAACCGATATTGACAATTTAAAATGCTGTGAACTCAATCAAGCGATAATTTACACTGAAAACACAATTTTTCAACAGAACGTGAAGGATGATCAAGAATTTTGTAAAGAAAATGAATCAGTTACAGAGGAAATAAAAGAAGAAGAGAAACAAACCGAAAAAGCAGAATTAGTGCCTGAAAAAGTAGAAAATAAGTCACCCACCATAGATGAAGAATTGTGCAGAGAAGTAAATAGAGTTGAAGAAGATGAATATGAAGAAGAAGAATCAGAAATTGATGAGGATGAAGATGAGGACGATGATGAATTAGAAATCGATGAAATGCAAGAGAGCGACGAAAGCGAAGGCGACGACATCGAATTGAGCGTACCAAGTGCCAGTGGCTCCGAAGAAAGAAGATCGAGCGAAAGCGAATACACCGAAGAATCGCCGGAAGACGACGTGCACTACAGCACCGAATCGGACGGCATCGAAGACTTGAGCGTCGACGACGAGGAAAACGAAGAAGACATCGACGACGAAGAAACGTCATCGGGTTCCCTGGACTCGACGAACGTCGAGCAAATGTTGGAGAACACCCTGAACCGGATCAAAGCCGAACTGTCCGACTTTCGCACGTCCAACGACGATTCCAGCAAGAGCAGCTCGGAACAGATTCACGAGGGCCAAGAGCGGGAGGAGGCGAGTGCGGATAACGAAGCAGCGGCATTAGCACCAGCAACGGCAAATGTGAATCATTCAGACACGCTCGACAGTGCGAACGAAAAAAGTACAAAAGATCGCGACGAGTTAAACGCGTCCCCCAAAACAACGAAGCCCAAAAAGCGATTTTCAATTGTAGCCAGCTACATAGAACAGTTCGAGGGTCGGCCGCCGCCGAGATACAAGCGAGGAGAGCACAAGAGGGAGCCGTCCACGACGAGCAGCGGTCACAGCGGCAGCAGGTCGTTGGCTGCCAGTATTCAAAAGGACCTGTCTCCCACGACCGAACGGGAGGTCAGTAGATTGTTACCAAAAAAAAAAAAACTCTCAAGTCTTCCTCCTACCAACCAGACACAGACCAATGTCTACAAAAAGAGCTCGAGCCAACCAAACTTTTTCAAAAGATCTGACTGATTTTATTAGATACGAAATATTGATTTGACGATTGTGAAAAAATTATATGTATGTAACCCCGTCGACGTTTTCATCGACACATCCCCCGTTTCCTTTAGTCAATGCGATTGCTTATGAGCCAGCATGTAATAAACAAAACTCATTGCGTAGGTATATACACAGGCTGTTTCATCTTTCAACATTTTTAACTCTCATGAGCTTTTTATAATCGTCATTATGTATTTATTAATAGGACACGCAAAAGGTGGGTATTATGCGATAATGCAGTACAACTAACGATGTCATTTCCTATTCGTCATTTTTATCGTTCGTCGCCTCATTTTTTTGATCGATAAAGAGAAAAAATGTGTAATGCTTATCACGCGAATCACTCGTAGTTAATTATCATCAAACTAAAAATTGTCATTTTCAACAAATCATTTTCATGAAATTAGATATTAATTAACCCGTCGACGAATCAATTATTCAATGATCATAAATTAAAACGTTCATGTCAGGAGCTCGATTATAGACGTTGGTACGTTGTAAATTCCATGTTTTTTAATATTCAATGTTGGCATGGTCATGATCATTTTCACCTTTCGATATCTCGTCATTCGAGCCGGTATCATAAAATACTAATAGATTTCATAAAAGTGATAATTGAACATACCGATATTTTCAAAGTACATTGTTTTTTATTTAATAATTATATTTGTCATCTGCATCGCCATATTTTTCAAATGTCTTTTGTTGTGCGATCAATAAAGTAAGAAAACAACATTAAAAGAACAATTGAGATAGGGATTTATTGGGTAAACACGTAAATGTGAGATTCTAATCAAAAAGTACATGTTTGGTTGTTTTTCAAAATACACAAATAACATGTTTTTTTGACAATTACGAGACATTTATTTAACCCCATACAAGTATTAGAAAAAGTTTTTCGAAGCATTGATCTTTGGATTGTCACTTGTCTGAAATCTTAAAGTTTTGTTTTTTTCATTGTTTTTGATGCATTGTACTATACCTGAAATATCTGAAAAAAAAAAGAAAATGTATTCGAAACTCGATAAGTCTTGCAAGTACCCCCCTTCATGTGTTTTATGTGTACCTCTCGGAAAATCGAAATTGACCACACCTTTTGTAAATAATCTCGAGTAAAACTTTCCAAAGCTTCGCATAATGAGGCCAGGCCCATATTTTCTCGTTCAAATTTTGCAGAGAGTAGCCCGACGATTGCTAGCCGAGGGCCGAGTCACGAGGTACGCCGAGGCCGAGATCGCGGCGAATCTGCTCGCGCTGAAGTTCACCGAGGCCGAGGCCTTGAACGCCTGCCGTCAGTGCCCGAGCGTCGAGGCCGCCCTGGCCTTTCTCCAGCAGGAGTGCGAGCTGTGCACGGGCCGCTTCCCCATGAACGAGATGATGTCGATGCTGAGGTGCGAGCATCGCTGCTGCGTCGGCTGCGCCAAGAACTACTTCACCGTGCAGATAAGCGACCGCAGCATCGCCGACGCCGTCTGTCCGTTCTGCAAGCAGCCGGATCTAGTCGACGCCGCGGACGAGGACGCCGTACTCGAGTACTTCAGCCATCTGGACATACAGCTGAAGAGTCTGCTGGATCCGCCGGTGCACGAGCTGTTTCAGCGCAAGTTAAGAGATCGTACATTGATGCAGGATCCGAATTTCAAGTGGTGCGTGCAGTGCTCGAGCGGATTCTACGCCGATCCGACCCACAAGAGATTGATATGCCCGGACTGCAAGTCGGTCACTTGTGCCTCTTGTCGAAAACCGGTACGTGTATATCCGTCGACTATGAGACAGATTTGCGAAGATAATTAATTATAAAAATGTAAAAACTACTTTTTAGTTTTAAACGAAACATCCTGTCAAAAACAAAACTTTCCGAGCAATTTAATTGTTCCCCAGGTGAAAATAGTATGTAAGATCTGATTCCAGATCTTGTATTCGATAATCGACATCAGAACTTATATCAGATCATTAAATATAACTAAATTTCTTATACAATTTTAATTATTAATAAACTTATTGTTTAATTAATTAAAAGCAATACAGTCACTTCAGATCTGACGTTAGATCTGATGTCAGATCTGATGACAGATCTGCCGTACATTAGTCAGACCTTATACCAAATTTGATGCCAGATCTGGAGTCAGATCTTACATATTTTCACCTAGGTTTGCCTCTAAATAGTATATTTTTCACTCCCTAGGTGCAAAATATACCATTTTCGGTGTAAGAATTAAAAAGTAATTTTTGAAGTCTTAATTATGAATTAAATTCTGAAAGTAATTTAACATTTTGCAACTCTGTTATAAATTGACAAACTCGAATAATAAAAAAATTGTTTTGTAATCAAGTGGGAGAAGCAACACGAGGGTATCGACTGCGAGCAGTTCGCGGCCTGGAAGGACGAGAACGACCCGGACAATCAGGAAAAGGGCCTGGCCCAGCATTTGAGGGACAACGGCATCGACTGTCCCAAGTGCAAATTCAAGTATTCGCTCTCGCGAGGGGGTGAGTGCGTCTCTTATAAAATAAACCGATTTTCGCAAACATTAAAATCGATCGATTATCGCAGGCTGCATGCACTTCACCTGCACCCAGTGCAAGTACGAGTTCTGCTGCGGCTGCGGCCGTCGCTTCGTCATGGGCGCCAAGTGCGGCGTCTCGCCCTACTGTGCCAAGCTCGGCCTGCACGCCCATCATCCGCGCAACTGCCTCTTCTATCTGCGCGACAAGGAGCCCCAGCAGCTCCAGAAGCTGCTCAGGGAGCACGAGGTGGCCTTCGACACGGCGGGCCCGAGCGGCCCACGCAGATGCCGGGTCCAGCTGCAGAAGGAGACGCCCGCGGGCATGGTGGACGCCATCTGCGGCAACGACGTGCCCGAGAGCCACGCCGGTCTGTGCAGGTAAAGGCTTCGATTATAGTTTTGTTGGATGTCGGTGTGTACTAGGGTAAAATTGCACAGTGATCGGACGCTGCCAGTTGAAATTTCGATCGTCGATCGATTTGAGAAAAAAATTATAAATAATATTCATTGTGAGTTATCACAAAAGTTGACATTTTAAGTTCTAATATTAGACATTGATAATTCTTTTTTTTTGAGGATTGATATATCTTACAGCTGATACAAAATTGAGCATTAGCTGAAGAATTGGTGTCCGAAAAGTGTCCTCTAATAATTTTTCTAATTAAATGGTATATTTTTAATAAAGTCAAAGTGAATAAGCAAGCTGTATAAATGAAAAAATTAGAAAAATTTTTATAAAGTGTCTGAAAACTAGCTATTTTACTCTAGTCGAGTCTTGACAAACAGGAAATTTTTCAATTAAATAAATTCGTTAAATCGGTTGAAGTACAAACATTTTTTGAATATTTATTTACATAAAAAACAAAGGTTACACTATTTTATAAACTAAATATAAACTTAAACTATATGTACATGAATTAAAACATTTCGATCACGTCGAAAAGTAACTTCGGTTCGAGCAATAAAATTTTGAATACAAATAATTCAATGGAAGGCCGAAAGTAAGCCTCGATAATTCCTCCAATGCGTACTACCCTTTCTGTAGAGTCCATTACATCGAGTATTTGGTGGGTAAAATTCGCCGCGACTTGCTAGAACCCCTGAGTCTGCTCACGACAGACGACCTCGAGACTCTGGTCCTTCGCGCTGGTAAAAAGCTACCGGGCAATTGGTACGGACGCGATCCCGTCGAGTACCGGCAGGACCTGCTCGAGGTATTTTTTTTTTTTTTTAATACATATATAAGCAAGCTTTATAAAAACTAGTTTTGAACTAATTTTTTTGGTGGTGTTTTGCGCGCGTGCGTATCTTTTCCCCCGCAGGCAGCACTACGTCGAGTACCTGGCGGGCCTGGTGCTCAAGAGGAGGCTCGACCCTGTGGCGATATTCGATTTGACGGATGCCAAGCAGGAGCTGCGCCGCCGGGGAAAAGTGCCGCCCGCCAAAAGCTACCACATGTCCGAGCAAGATTACCTCGACGCCTGCATTCAGGTGATTTTTGTTTTGTTTTTTCATTAATGCCAAACGAACAAAAGTAATAACACACAAGCAACAACGAGAGTGCGCTTTTTATAACTGGCGATTGCTCTTTTCTTTGGTTTGTTTTCTTCTTTCGCTCTTGCCTGCAATCATTTTTTATCATTAAACGCTTGGAATCAGTGTGTTGGATTTGTTTTTTTCTTAAACTAGTAGTAGTAGTAACAAGAGTCATTTCTGTTTCTAGACTGTGCGCAAAGAAATTCCTCTGGAATAACACAACAAGCATTCAAGATTTATTAATCTACGTTAATTATATTGTCAAGTTCTTATGAAGATTAGTGATATTCACCGAGCTGCCTACTTTATTCATTGTAATTGTTCCTAAGTGTAAGAAGTATTTTTAAGATATATATATTATATATATAAACCATAATTTGTAGATATAAACATCTGCAAAGATTTTTTCTTAGTCTATGCTACGAAGTTAATAAATTTCTTTGAGAAAATCGTTCAAACTTTTTCCTACTGATTTCTTTTTTCCTTTGTCTTTCAGATTTTTAACTTCCTTTGCCTTAAGTAAATTTATTGCTCTAATTTTTTGTAAGGGTGTTTGTCCATTGTTCTGTTTTGGAGGTAAAGGTTTTTTCACTTCTTCTAATGGCAATGGAGATGGAGATGGCAGAATGCCTGATAAATTCAAACCTGCTGTTTTATCCTTCTTTTTCTTTTTTTTCTTGCTCGATTGTAGAACAACGGACTCCTCGATCTTTTCTTTTTTGGCTTTTACTTTGTCTGGTCTATGGGAATAGATTTTTGTGGTTTTCAAACACACATTGCATGTCATCGCCACAGTCTGCTTTTTATTCTTCAAAGCCTTTTTCATCAAAGATTTTTGAATCTTGGATATGGGTTTATTCGATTCTTTGGCTTTTATAATTTTCAATATGGATTTTGAAGGTTTTTTTCCAGAGATAATTCTGACTTTTGGCTGACTCTGGGACCATAAACAACCACAATATTCACACATATTTTTAGGTCCATATTCTTCCTTTGGCAGTCGACTATTGGGCACTTTTCCTCTACAGGCTTGTCTAGATACACAAACATTGTTGATTAAAAAATTGATCAAATGCTGGTTATATTCAATGAAATAATTGTAAAAACACTCACGATAAAAGCATATTCAAGAGGCCGGCTCCTTTCCCATCTTTTGTTCTTAAGCAAGATTTACAAGAGTTTAAGTAATTCACTTGTTGCTCAATAATACGTTCCATGTTTTCTTTATTTTTTCTTTACGAATTATGTCTTATTTTCAAATGGAATGTTTACTTTTGAAATGTCTAAAACTTCGTAACACAGATGATGCACCACGAGGTTATCTAGCAGACATCACTGATGCGCATCACTTTTGAAAACGGTGCAATGCGTGCGCCGAAAATTATCTACAATTGTAGCGACGAACGCTTTTAAATTTGTTTAATTCTGAAGAATTTTTTTTTAATTTCATCAATTTGATAATATAAGATGGATCAAAAAATTAAAATATCTAGTTAAATACAATTAATTTTCAAATATTTTTTAAGTAATTAAAAAAACGGGCTCTGAAAAAGGAGCATTGTTGGAACACCCGAACACACGTGTTAAACAGCATTTATAGGTTCTCAGCTACATCTGAACGAGCCACCACACATGCACGAGTTAGACAGAGGTACTGTGTCATTGATGCCGGTACCACTGATCATAACCAAATAATTCGATAAATCTTTATATTTTCTCGTCTATCAAGTGATATATAAGTTTTAATATTCGTTATAACAATGGGTAAAGGTCGCAGTTACAGACCTAAGAAGAACTTCGCGGAGAAGCGCCGTGAAAAGCAGGAGAAGAAAAATCAAGACGCCGACGCCGAGCCACGAAAACCGTATGCTGAGATCGTACGCCAAAACAATGATTTCGAGGCCTACTACAAATCCCAGGGAATTGTACCAGAGGCAGAATGGGACACCTTCATCAAGACCATGCAGGAGAATTTACCAACGGCTTTTCGCATAACCGGCTCCAAGGCAGAAACCAGGGCACTCTTGAACATCATCAAAGGTGAATATTTCAAAGAAATTCTGAATGTCAAATTCGAGGACGATGAGAATGCCCAAGAAGTCAAGCCTCATTCATTGCCTTTTTATCCTGACAATTTGGGATGGCAGTTGCAATTGACTCGTAAGGACATCAGAAGATCAGAGGCTTTCTCAAGATTACACAATTTCCTTATTTCTGAAACAACTAGCGGCTACATCAGCAGGCAAGAAGTTGTCAGCATGATACCTCCATTGGTTCTAGACGTAAAACCATGGCACAAGGTTCTGGATATGTGCGCAGCTCCGGGCTCCAAAACTGCTCAATTGATAGAAATGATTCATGCAGATGATAATATACCTCTTCCAGAAGGATTTGTAATTGCCAATGATTTAGATAACAATAGGTGTTACATGCTCGTTCATCAAGCAAAGCGGTTAAACAGTGCTAATATTTTAATTACTAATCATGATTCGTCTATGATGCCAAACTTGACTTTTACGCAACCAGATGGAAGTGAAGGTATTCTCAAATTCGATAGAATTTTGGCTGACGTTCCGTGCAGTGGTGATGGTACAATGAGAAAAAATCCTGATATTTGGTGTAAATGGAGTTCAGCAAATGGTAATAATCTTCATGGTATACAATACAGGATAGCCAAAAGAGGAGTTGAAATGCTGGCAGTTGGTGGTAGGATGGTATATTCTACTTGTTCATTGAATCCTATTGAAAATGAGGCAGTTTTGCATAGATTACTTAGTGAAACTGGAGATTCTTTGCGTTTGGTAGAGTGTAAAGACATGGTTCCAGGGTTGGTTTATAATGAAGGTGTGTCACATTGGAAGCCTTCATCTAAAGATTTAAAATACTTTGACTCATTTGAAGATGTACCTGCCAATCTTCACACCCAAATTCGACCAAAAATGTTCCCACCAAAACCAGAAGATGCAGCAAAGTTCAATTTAAATCATTGCATGAGGATATTGCCGCATCACCAGAATACAGGAGGCTTCTTTGTAGCAGTACTGGAAAAAGTGAAGCTTTTACCATGGGAAAGTGATTCAACTACTAGCAAAGTGAACGAAAATCAATCTGAGGTAAATAAAAGAAAAGCAGATGATGAGAAAACTCCAACAGGACCCCAAAGAAAGCGACGAAGGATACAAGGTTACAAGGAAGATCCATTTGTATTTTTTGAGGGTGAAAATGAAAGTGTATGGCCATCTATAAAAGAGTTTTATGAAATCTCTGATAAATTAGATGCCCGTTGTTTATTAGTAAGATGCAAAGAAGGTAAAAAGAAAAATATCTACTTTACCTCCCCTGCCATTAGAGATATTGTTATACATAATGAGTCTAAAGTGAAATTAATCAATACTGGAGTAAAAACTTTCGTACGGTGCGATAATAGAAATATGGATTGTGCTTTTAGACTAGCACAAGAAGGATTAGGCAGTATTGCTCATTTTCTTGGTGACAAACGTAAAATCCAAATAGAAAAAGAAGACTTGCTGAAACTTTTGCAAAATCACAACCCTACAACACCACCAGAAATTACTTCCCTTAATCAACCACTTCAAGATCAGTTGAAAGATTTTTCTATGGGTAGTTGTGTACTGTATTACGAAGAAAAAAATTCAGAAGAAACAGATTGCTTGAAACTGCAATTAGTTGGTTGGAGAGGAAAGATGTCACTACGAGCATATATTTCTGTTCATGATACTATTCACTATTTGAGAATTTTAGGTGGAGATTGTTCGAAGTTTGAAAAAAATAAATTTCAAGAAAATCGAGATGCTTTGAAAAATGAAAAACTGAGCGAAAGTATTGATGAAAATATGGATGAAAATATTGACGAAAATATTGACGAAAATATTGCTGAAAGTCAAGCTATTAAAGATGAAAATAATGTAGCTATAATCAATGAGAATGAAGAAGCATAAAAGATTTAAAAAATGACGAATTGTTGAATTTTTCAAAAATTTTCAAGACTGATGAAAAATTCATATAATAAATGTAGTACATACTGGTGTAAATTTTTATTAAATTAATGAAATAATAAAAATGCATTCCTTAATTACAGCTTTATGATTGTTTCTTTTTTTATTTTCAAATCATTTTTTTTTACAAGTCAAAATAACTCAAGTTGATTAAAGATTGATAGAAATTTGATTACATTTTTTTTCAATGAATTTAAATAATCCTTATGAAAAATGTCTACATTATTTTTAATTACATTTGTTGATCACAAAAATATTTGGTTTTTAAAAAAGATGTCAAAACTCCCTTTTCTTATTTACAATCTTACATTGCAATTTGTACAGATCTTTGCAAGCTGTTATTAAATGATATTTTTTCATTCAAAACTTGATTCACTCAAAATGAGAGTTTCATAAAAACAATGTATTAAATTGATATAATAAACATACAAAAATAATAGAAAAATAACTATCTTAATAATTTTTGTTTGAATTAATCTTGCATAAGTTTCATGTCATAAAATTATACGCCACCTGGTACTACTAACTCCTTATTTAGGCCATTGGCAAAATATTCTAATGATCCTTCGTCTGAATCATCACTTAGCAGCAATGATGGAGATAATCTACAACCCTTAGCTAAATAAGACTTCAATTTTTTAACACTGGCTAAAATTAATCCTAAAAATGGTGGTGAGGGAGTCATTGGTCTTGATGTATACTCAGGATGAAATTGTGTTGCAACAAAGTAATCATGTCCTTCTAATTCCACAATTTCCATTCTTATGTTATCTTCATCTCGCCCAACAAATTTTAGACCCGCAGCCTCTAAATCTGATACATATTTTGGGTTCACTTCATATCTATGTCTGTGTCTCTCTTCAATTAATTCAACATTTCCATACAGCTGACGCAACACAGATTTATCTGTAACAAATCTTGTAGCTCTTTTGCCCAATCTCATGGTACCACCCATGTCACCTTTATTATGTTCAGGCATGTCAATGACTACAGGATTTTTACAATCAGGAGCAAATTCCATACTATTGACATCATCTAATTTGAGAACATTTTTTGAAAATTCCATTACTGCAGCTTGAAGTCCTAAACAAATTCCTAAGAATGGTATATTATGTTCCCGGCACCATGTAACAGCTTCCATTTTGCCATTAATACCCCTTTCCCCAAAACCACCAGGTACAACAACTCCATTTGTGCTGCACAGTGTTTTCCATGCCTCGTGATAGGCTACTGGATCTGCAGTTTTTGCTTGTTCTTCTAAGCTCATGGCATCAATGAATTCAACAACCAATTTGAACCCAACCTTGATAGCAGCATGTTGGAGAGATTTTGTTACTGAAGCATAAGCATCTTCAAGTTTAGTATATTTTCCTACCAATGCAATATGAACAGCTGCAAAAAGTAAAAACATGATAAAATATTGGAATTAAAGTCCTCGTAGTATAGTTTAAAGAAAAAAATCACACTTACGATCTCTTAAATGGTCAACTCTATTTGCTAAGTTCTGCCATGTACTCATAAATCCTAGTGGAAGAGGAATTGGGATATTCAATTTCAGTCTATCATTTAAGTAATGTATTACTCCTTGATCTACCATTAATAGAGGAACTCGATAAATTGAAGATAAGTCATGGATTGTGATAACTTGCTCAGGTCCAACGTGACAAAAGTTGGAGATTTTTTCTTTAACTGAGTCTCCAATAGGTTTTTCAGATCTACAAATTATCAAATCTGGAGATAATCCAAGGCCACGAAGTTCTCTAACACTTGATTGTGTCGGTTTAGTTTTTGCCTCCCCAGTTGATTTTGGGGATGGTACTAGGGATACATGAGCAACGCAAAAATTATCTTTCTTTACTTTAAATTGAAATTGGCGAAAAGCTTCAACAAAAGGCATTCCTTCAATATCTCCAATAGTTCCTCCTAATTCAATAATGCACACTTCTGGAATTTTTCCATCATCTGTCACTGGTCGGTTGGCTATTTTTTCAACCCATTCTTGAATAGCGTCAGTAATATGTGGTACTACTTGTACAGTTTTACCCAGATAATCACCTTTTCGTTCCTTTCTGATGACATTTTCATAAATTTTACCTGTGAATAAAAAATTATACTGTTATTAAATTTTGAAAAATTCGAAGAGGTACGGTCACTTTATAAAGTGATAAATATTAGGAATTATTTATTGTTAAAATGTTCAAGAATCGGAAATTTAAATACGATTCAGATTCTTTTTGTCCCATTCTACGTAAAAATCCAAATTAATTCAAACTTTCATTTCCCACGAAAATGAACCGAAATTAAGTTCTCGAAGTTCCCATCAAAACTAATCCGAACTTTCATTTTCCGAAATATTAACGTTATAAAGTTATTGATTTTTATAATTGCGTTGTTCTGTATTTTTCATGTTTTTTTTGTGCTCCTATTTTGAATAATATACATTCCGAAAACTGATAACTCCGAAATGCGATCGCACATGGCTCATGTTCTTAAAAATTAATTTTTCGGAATTAATAAATTAAAGTTCATTTGATCGCAAGACATTAGCAATAAAAATACAAATCAGGGAAAACAGATACTGCTGAAATCAGCAGTGTCGATTAGAGCCACGTGAAGCTGAGAAAGAGCTTAAAATAATCTCGTTAGAGTAGCCATGTTCATTGTCAAGGCCAGAAGCCAAATACTTTTTCCAATAATTATGCAACTCGTTCGATCAATTGTCGGAAGTACACAGGAAGTAGCGTAATAAACAATCGACCGAGCAAATGTTAAAATTTCAGTTTTTTTTTCACTGGCAGCGGATGAAAAAAAAAACCAACTGACCTGTAGTGATGTTATTGTCTTTGTGCAAAATGACATCGAGGAATCTCTCGTAGTTGCCAAGATCGAGATCTACCTCGCCACCGTCGTCCAGAACGTAGACCTCGCCGTGCTCGTACGGCGAGAAGGTGCCAGCATCGATGTTTAGGTAGGGGTCGATCTTGATTGATGTAACGTGTATGCCGCAGGACTTGAGGATCGTGCCGAAGCTGCTGGCAATGACACCCTTGCCGACACCACTGATAACACCACCCGTCACCAAGATGTACTTCATTTTGCTTTGTAAAGTAAGTACGACGCTTTCGCGAACAACGTTCTCGAGACTTGTGTCGCTTGCTCGGTGCACAAAACGGCGAGGGAAGGACGATCGACTCGTGTGCGGTTGTTGCTTGCGATATAGATAATACAAGTACGCAGCGTGGTATGATATTTTAGCACGAGTGCGCCTGATTAAAGTCGCGGGCCGCGCGAACACGACAAGACGCTGACGCGCCGTCGCCGGGACGTGGTGCTGCCAACTTGATTCAGGGCGGCAGATTTGAATTAATTGCGTCGTATTGAGGGTGGGTAATTTAGAGTACGAGGTACAATTTTTATAGTACTGTCATCGATGAAATGACTTGCATCGTTAATTTTTACACTTGATGTGTAATGTCCAATACTGTATTACGTATGTATTGTAGAAATTTGCTGCTTATTGCAAATGCATGCAGTAAATTTACTGACATAAATTTATGTTTTTAATTAACGAGATAAGAAAAATGCACAATTATAGCTTTATGATGGTTTCCTTTTTATTATCAAATTATTATTTTTACAAATATAAATACTAAAGTCGATTACAAATTCTTTTGAAGAATTTGAATAATCTTTGTGTAAAATATCTATATTATTTCTAATTATTGTTGTCGATAACAAAAATTTTATGAATTTTTACAAATAAGTTAAAAAAGTCTCTGGTTATTTACAATCTCATATTGTTAATGGTTCACTCAATATGAGTGAAATCTGTTTGTGAAAATTGTGGTTTTAAATAAACTTGCATGAGCTTCATGGGTACAATTATGATTCACTAAAAACACTTGAGTCTAAAGAGTTTCCATTGGTCAAATGATCTAATCCTTTGTCTGAATTAACACTCCCCAGGGATGAACATGATCTACTACCATTAGCTAAATAAGACTTCAATTTTTTAACACTGGCTAAAATTAATCCTAAGAATGGTGGCGATGGAGCCATTGGCCTTGACAAATATTCAGGATGAAATTGAGTGGCAACAAAGTAATCATGATTCTCTAGTTCTATAATTTCCATTCGTATGTTATCTACATCTCGCCCAACAAATTTTAGTCCTGCAGCCTCTAAATCAGAAACATATTTTGGGTTCACCTCATATCTGTGCCTGTGTCTCTCTTCAATTGATTCAACGTTCCCATACAGTTGACGCAACACAGATTTTTCTGTAACAAATCTTGTTTCTCTTTTGCCTAATCTCATTGTACCACCCATGTCACCATTATTATGTTCAGGCATGTCAATGACTACAGGATTTTTACAATCAGGAGCAAATTCTGTACTGTTGACGTCATCCAAATGGAGAACATTTTTTGAAAATTCCATTACCGCAGTTTGAAATCCTAAACAAATTCCCAAGAATGGTATATTATGTTCCCGGCACCATCTACAGGCTTCCATTTTGCCATTAACACCCCTTGACCCAAAACCACCTGGCACAACAACTCCATCTGAACTGCATAGCCTTTTCCAAGCTGCATGATAGGCTACTGGATCTGAGGTTTTAGCTTGTTCTTCCAAGCTTGCAGCATCAATAAATTTAAGAGTCAATTTTCGACCAGCCTTAATAGAAGCGTATTCTAAAGATTTTATTACTGATTTATAAGCGTCTTCTAATTTAGTGTATTTTCCTACCAATGCAATTTCAACAGCTGTAAAAAATAAAAAAATATTAAACATTTGAATTAATATTCTTACAATACAGTTTGAAGAAAAATCACACTTACGATCTCTCAAAAGGTCAACTCTATGGGCTAAATTCTTCCATACACTCATAAATGAATCAGGAAGAGGAAGTGGAATATTTAGCTCCAGTCTATCATTCAAGTAGTGCATCACTCCTTGATCTACCATTAATAAAGGAACTTCATAAATTGAAGGTAAATCGTGGATTTTAATAACTTGGTCAGGTTCGACATCACAGAAGTGGGAAATTTTTTCTTTGACTTCATCTCCAATAGGTTTGTCAGATCTGCAAATGATCAAATCTGGAGATAACCCAAGGCCACGAAGTTCTCTAACACTTGCTTGGGTGGGTTTGCTTTTTGCTTCCCCAGCTGCTTTTGGAGTTGGTACATAAGATACATGAGCACAGCAGAAATTGTCTTTCTGAACTCGTTTGAATCGACGGAAAGCTTCAACAAAAGGCATTCCTTCCATGTCTCCGATAGTTCCTCCTAATTCGACAATGCAAACATCGGGAATTTTCCCATCGTCTGTCACTGGCCGATTTGCAATTTCTTCAACCCATTCTGTGATAGCATTAGTAGTATGTGGCACTATCTGAACAGTTTTGCCCAGATAATCGCCTTTCCTTTCCTTTCTGATGACTTTTTCATAAATTTTACCTGTCAAGAAAAAATTATAATCATATTAAATCATGAATTAAATAAATATATTTGAGTTAGATAGTACATCGATCCATAATCATTTTGCGGAATGTTAAATGGAAAATATAGACTTCTTTTGTCACAGTTTACATAAGATATCAAAGACTTCATTATTAGATTAAAATATAAATTATTTTCCGAATCCGAATTTTAATTTTTTTGAAATATTTATATTTCGAAATTATTGATTACTAAAATCGCGTTGTTCCGAATTTTTTATTTTTTTCAATTTATTAATTTTAGAATGATGAAATTTTGTATTATATTTCGACTTAGATAGAAGATTTTATACGTTTATAGTAAAAAGCTCCGATCGTTTGAAAAAGACTTAAAATTTTGAGTAAAAATTCGATAGTAGCAATTTTTTTCGCGGTATTGTCTTCTTATTTTTGGTCAATAATCCATATCAATGACAATTGTACGTGAATATTTTTTTTTAATTTGTGTTATAAATCCGAAAAATATTATCCAAATACTGGTATCAAGTTTTAATATCACATGATACATTAATTAATTTAATTTACAAAATGGGCTTAAGTTAACAATAATAGAGATGAACCCCTTATAAATCATGTTTTTTTCACGATCACCCTGAGAAATTAATTAACTCAACCGATTTTCTGCTATAAGTTAAACATTTTTTATCAATTTTCGAACAAAATGTTGTACACATTCAGAAAATTAATTATTCCTGATACTATTAATTCCGAAATGTAAACAAATGGCTTATATAAGTTTCAGTAATAATCATAAGTTAACATTCAAGTTCATTGAATTGTAACTCATCAATCAAATGAAATACAACTCTAAAAAGGTTCGGTTATGTCCACGAGGTCGTGTAGAGCCACGTGAAGCTGAGAGAAAGTTCAAAATAATTTTTCTTCGGAGTAAAAAGTGAAAAGGAACATTTTTGAAGACTTTTACCCAACGATTATGAAAATAGATGGAGAAAAAAAATCACTGACCTGTTGTAATATTGTTATCTTTGTGCAATATAACATCGAGGAATCTCTCGTAATTGCCAAGATCTAGATCTACCTCGCCGCCGTCATCGAGCACGTAGACCTCTCCGTGCTCGTAAGGCGAGAAGGTTCCAGCGTCGATGTTGAGGTAAGGATCGATCTTGATCGAGGTGACGTGTAAGCCGCAGGATTTAAGGATAGCGCCAAAACTGCTGGCAATGACACCCTTGCCAACACCACTGATAACACCGCCCGTCACCAAGATGTACTTCATTTTGTTGCAGCGAGATCGAAGGATGCTTCCGAAAAAATTTTCTTCTCGTTTTGAGAGTAGTCGTTCACACGCGACTTCTGAATTACGACTGCCGCTGGTCGAGACTCGTTTCTTGCTTGGTGATCTGGTATGGGGCCAGATTGAGCGGAAGGACGGTTGAACCATGCGCGCCGTCGCCATCTGACAGTTGACACCATGGTGCTGCCAACTTGAACGAAAGCGGTAGATTTGAAATAGTTACGCCGGCTTTTAATTTTTGACTCATTAAATTTTTTGAGAAATTACGCTCTTAGGTGTAATTTTTTACATTTCTGTCATCGAGAAAGAATATTGTGTTGTTAATATTTCCACGTGCTCCGTTAAGTCCATCTGTCACATTTGCTTCGTACGTTATCGTAGTCGCACGTGTATCGGAAATTAATTCATTCATTCATTCATTCATTCATTCATTCATTCATTCATTCATTCATTCATTCAATCGTATTCATTTTTTATAAATTTATTAGTGTTATACAATTTTTATTCAAGCGCAGACGAAACGATTCAAACTTTTTGGAAAAAAAAGTTCCGAACGCGATTCGAACCAGCGATCTTGAGAATGCGAACTCTCTTACTTTGACCACTGAACCACAGAGCAGCGGATCAATTTGGGTGTACATTTTCGGTGCTACAATGCCAGAAGTGAATATAAAAATCAAATTCGAACGATAGAGTAAAAACTCAATAATTGCGACGCATAATACGAGGAGGATGTATATTTGCAAGAGGGAGCGCGAAATGCGCTCCTCGATATAAAAAGTCAAGTCCCTATTTTCGCTTAGCTTTGAATTCATTTTTTACATAAAATCAAAATTTGATATGAATATTTAAATAATATATTGATGCAACCAATTTTATTAAATCGTTAATATTAATTATAGAGCGAAAATAGGGACAGTGACCTTATATAAGAACGTTTTGACCAAAAAAATCAAATCAACCTAATTCCTTTGATCTAATCCTGAGCTCGATCGTGCAAGTTTCCTTATTCGATTATTGTTTCATTCACAAACGAACTAATCCAATCGATCGAATGATAAGCTCCAATCTGCATATGCACTAGTTTCATCATCGAAAACTTGCAACTCTCATCTTAGCGAAAATCCGCTACAAAAAAAGGTAGTATGATTCAATGTTTTGTCAACGAGAAGAGAGGCAATTTGAATATTATTGATCGAGCACTTCCTGGCCGACTATTTAAACGATACACATACATATTATATTGCGAAAAACGACATCTCTTCGCATTATGCGGCGCGCGGGCATTTTTACTCGAGAGCATATACAAAAGCCGTAACGCAAGTTCTCGACACATAAAGCCAAATGCGCGCGGCGTTTCGCACTTTATAACATCGAATATATAGTTACGTAAGGCCAAGATACGTAAACATTGTGTAGTGTTTTACGGCTCTCTCGGTCTCTTAGGCTTGGAAAATGTAAAAAAAAGCCACTGCAGTCGTGAAAACGATCATCGTCTGCCTATGTAACGAAAAAAAAAATCTTGGAGGCAGTTTACAATGAGCAAGATTGAATGTAACAATTGCGTGCACGATGTGTGTTGGCGCTATTATTATAATACACCCTCGCGAATTTCTATACGATCTTCAGCCAACGCGATCGACGAAATAGCAAAAGAGAAAAAAAAGGCGTCCGGTGGCGCAATACCCGACCCCGACATCCGGACGATCGATTTATCATCGCGCTTCGATAATCCTTATCGCTCGTTCAAAGTGGCGATAAAAGTTAACGCGATGTATCGGTGACGGGATACAGAAATGAAATTTGAAGTATAAGCTGCTCGAATGAAGCTTCGGCTATGTCATAATATCATTTTGTCGTACTCGAGTTTCATCCTTCCATCGATCGAAATGGTATACGCACGCATGAAAAATAAAAATAAAATTGGAAGACGATTGAAAGATCGATGAATATACGTGAATTACTTTCGGGTACGGGGTACGATGCGAGAGAAATATATCTAAATTAAGGTAATTAATAAGGTGATTAAATTGTTGGAACGAGTAGCGGATAAAGTGTGAAAAAGCTGGTTTGCTTTTTGGCGTGCATATGCAGTCGCGTGGACGAGCTTTCCTCCGGTCACACACACACACATGGCTACTCGTTAAAACGTCGAGCTTTGTGTGTGTGGGGGGGAGGACCGTATAAATGATTAATAAACAAGGTAGGTCTACTATATGACGAGATATCTTTGTTATTTCGCACGAGGGTTTCCGAGAAACTAGGATAAAGCCATCTAGGTGTCGGTCGTGGTACTTTCCATAGGAAAAAATCGCGAAATTTCTATGAGTTTGGGCACGCAACGGTCAAAATAAAGATTGCAGACTTCTAAAATGGACCAATTTGTAATATTTCTTCTTAATTCCTGTTACCAACCTAAATTATCAAGGATTAGCCGCATTCTAACAAGCAACAGCGCTTGAAGGATTAGGTATAGGGTTTAACCCACGCTGGGCTTTTTGAGAAGAGCACGAATTCGCCTCGTGCGCCGGTTGTTGATTCGGCACTCGCACATCGCATACAGGTATTTATCTATATTTGATGCAGCCGAGCGATCCGCGGCGCGCGCGAAACGAGTTCTGTTCCTATACTGTAATGCACACAAGCCTATAGAGTATAAAAGAGTGGGTATCGCGACTCTGCTATGTGTGTGTGTGTGTGTGTGTGTGTGTATAATATAGGTACGTAGGTATATGCTCTGTGTGCAGAAACATATCTATAGGCAACCTGACGAACTCAACTCAACTCAACTCTCTCTCTCCTTTTTGCCAGGCTCTCTTCGACTGGTGCGATATGCGCGCGTGGCGCACCAGAGAGAGAGAGAGAGAGAGAGAGAGAGAGAGACAGACGAGAGCCTCCGACTCTCGCGTCAGCGAAGGCCCGATTCAGTCTGGTATCGCAACGTAAACGCGGCGGCGGCGGCGGTATTCGCACGTTCGCAAAACAACACAAGCGCGTTTGTGAGTAAGAAAATAAAGTTGGCGCGGTCGCGGAGTAGCGAGAAATCGCAGCTGTGTGCTCGCTCACTCGCTCGAGTTAGATACGAAACGGGCCTGTGTGTGATCAGTGCACTTCGACTGTATCTGTAATTATAGAAAATAAAGTGCAGTTTGTATACGTAAGATAAGGTTCGACTCTTTCTCGGTTTTGTGTGTTGTTGTGAGCTGCTGTATATAATACACTTGTGCTCCGATCTCCTGAGTCCGACTGCAAAACAGGTGCCGCGCTTCTCTCTGTCTGTGCTGCACCGCGGCCAGCAGCAGCAGCAGCAGCATGATGCAGCACGGTAGTCGCCGCATCTTCGACACTGATTCAAGGTACTTAAAATAAATCTACGCACACGTACTCGGGTGATCCTGAGTTACTAAACTACGGTACACATTCGCATCGAGTCTCGTATTATTGTTGGTGCAGCAACAGGCTCGGGCACGTTAAAGCTGCACAGCACGCGAGCCAAACACAAAACCTAACGGGATCGTCGATCCGAGTAGGATAGGTATAGAGGCCTTACGCGAGAGCTGCTGCAGGCTGCGCGACGGACGGGCCCAATACGTGTATACCTGTATATCTATACTCGTGCAGCGGTGTGGCAGCTCCGACGATCCTCGGTGATAACAGCACGCCTGTGTGCACTGCCAAACGAGCAGCAGCGGCAACTCCTCGATAATATCCTCGCGGGTTCGTGCGTTACGCACCATGGCGATCGGCTACACTTGTCACGCTCGACTCACCTCGACAACAACTATGCGCTATATATGTATAACGCGCCAGAATTACCAATTCCTCCTGTACTCCAAGGAGGAGGTTAGATTGCACCGCAAGAATCGTCCTGCAGAAATATATAACTATACCTTATCCCTTATCCACCTAGAATTCCATTGAGAACTATATAATGAAACCAACCGAATTCCACTAGAAAATTAACATTTCTCGATGCTCGTCTCGAATATGCTCGCTATAATATACGCGTGCACGACTGCACAACAACAGCAACAGGTTGTACCGATGCCGCGACGTGCCGCCCTTAACATATAAGTAAGTTATTTCTTCGATTCCGCGCGTTTCGTTTTTGTGCCGTGCACCCGCTCTCCTCGTTCGGATTCGGCTATTATTACTTCGGAGAATTTCGTATATTGGATTAACCCGATCGATGTTAGCCCTCTCCATGCCAAGAGTAAAAAAAAAAACTTGTAATAAATGTGTTTCTTTCCTGCCTCCTATAAACGCAACTTCTATTCTCCTTGGCCTTACATTTTTATCCGCAAAAATTTTTGATGAATTTCCGTAGCGAATTCACCTGTTGACGATACGCTCAACGTCGATTTACAAGTCTGATAATCCATTGACGTATTATAAATATTCTCATTGTACCGTCAATTGGATTATAATAATAGCATATATGTAAAGTCCGTAATCCATAGTGCAATACATTTCGTAAAAAAAATACGAGTCGAGGACGTCTCTCATCATATACACTTGTCGGCTCGATTTGTCAATTTTTTTCGGCTTCCGCGAATAATTCCAAAAGGTATTTCTTCTTTTCGGCGCTTACTAATAGCAGTAGTAAATGTTTCGCTCGCGAAATCCGCTTACATACATTCTTGACAGCTCGTTTCGACATAGGCTGCGAACTCTCAACTCTTTACTACAAGTGTGTGTGTGTGTATAGGTAGTAGTTCCTTTTATAACTATAAACGAGGCACGCCCCGCATTGTCGTTTATTAAAAAAAAACACTCGACAAATTAATCGCGTCGGCGAGGACACGTGTGTATTACGTGTATTATCATATGATTCAGCGCGACAATAGGAGAACGAGACAATGTAAGAAGCCTTTACGTCACTGCCAAATTACACATGTATATAAAGCGACGTTCAGCGCGGGTCACACACATACACACGTAATAATCACGTAAACGCTTTAGCCGCTACTTCGCGTTATTGTCATTGTTACGAGTCAAGGCTGTACTTCCTGCGGACGATTATTCCGTGTCTTTATATCGAAAAAAAGTGGGCCAAACTCGAAGCTGGTCCAACTGTCATAAATGAC